CCTTTTTTTTTTTTTTTTTTTTTTGCTCCTGAAAAAAAAATCCTTCATCAGCTCTTCGTACTTCTGTTCTGTCACAGATACTGTCCACAAATACCATTCTCTAAATGGCCGGCTGCTGTGTGATGTTGATCCCCCACCATGCGCTCCATGCTGTTAGAAACAGAGACAACAGACTTGTACAGAATTTTGCCATTAGGTGCAGGTAGGATAATGGGGTGCAATGAGATATCACACATTACAGATCCAAATTTTATAAGTGCCCATGCTTCTCCCTAGGAAGCACACTGATGATTTTCTCAAACACAAATAACGACTCTTCTGTTGGTAGAGAGAGGCGGCACTTGCTGAGAACTGACGGCTCTTCTTTAAGTGTTAGTGCAGAGGTAATCACAGCCTGCAATCTTTAATTGTGAAGCCCACCTAGAGCTAGGGCTGCCTCATACCCAAGGAGCAAGCAGTTATCAAAGGAATTAACACGGTGGATACACAGAAATCACCTCGGGCTACATAAGAAACTTGTCTACAGTTAGGTTATTTCTTTTCTTCTTTAAAGAACTGAAATATAGTTGATGATGACTAGGTTATTTTTGATGAACCAATCCTTGATGATTTTCACCAAAGAGGCACCAGGCCTAACATCCTTCACAAATACATAGGGAAATTCTCTGCAGAGTTCTTGATGTAGACAAGTTTATTCTATTTGCTTTTTTTCAGGTCATGCAGGAAGGTTTAGGAAATGCAGAGTCTCACTTGGAGGCCACGTCTGCATAAGGATATATTCCAGACCTGGATTGCCGAAGTGTTGAGCTGAAGATGAAAACTGAGAACTGAGGTATGACTAGAATCATGGTCCAGTCTCTGAGGAAGGTAAGGACTGATGCCTAGCACCAATGCTAGACAAGCTGCATGGTAACTATGCAATGTACTCAATGCATACAATGGAGTCCAATGAAGTGGCTGAAATCGGATCCAGAGCAGCGATCCCTGATGCAGAATTCTGTGCTTGGCTGGGCCAATATTGTCAGAACCACATTCTGACAGCTGGAGTCATTAGGGAGGCATATTACTGAACAGAGAGCAAAGCCAGCAGAACCGTGGCTTACAGAGACATTTGAAGAGGTGATAATCCTGTGAAAACTCCCAAAGACACTGAGGTGTTTTGACACTCAAGGTTAAAGTCCAGCAAAACAAGATGTTACAAAGGTCCTGCCAACATGCTTAAAAACAATTCTCTTATTAAAAGTAGCAACACTGAAGACACAGAGTTACAACTTAAGGGAAATGTTTGCTATAGGTAGTGGGTTTTTTTCCTGTGAATAATGCATTTCCCTATGCCTGGGGGCACATAAAATGATTAGGGTTGCCAAATGAAGGCGGTTGGATTGTTGTCAACATACTGGTTCACTTGGAATTATCTCAAGGTTCTGACTGGAAGCATGCACCTAAAAAGACAGTGCTACCCAGTGTTCACCCTCAGAGAAATGATTAGCCCCTTCCAGACTAACCACACACTTTGCCTACTTACTGTATTTTATTTCTACCCTATTGGTATATCTTGAGATAATACGTGATCAGGGCAATGATCAAAATGTTAGTGTTCTATTCTGAATACAATGTTCAATTTATCTGGCTTTAAGATTTGAAAATTTTTATTTTTATTAAATGTAAAAAAACCTGGGACTCTGCTTAGATTTTTAGATGGGGCCCAGAAAAGATTTTATTAAATGTGAACATCCCTCTTCCCCGAACCTTACTAAGCATGACTATATAAAACTTAATCATGGTAAACAACACGTTGAGGAATCCAGTTAGGGACTATCACCAAGGAAGACTGATTCTTAACGGAATTTGAATTAGCCTAGCTGTCCCTTCTATTGATTGTAAATAAAGCGGGAAGCCACAGCCCTATCCACATCCCAAACAACCTCATTTTAGAGTTTATTTCTGAGGAAGATGATATATTAAAAGGTATATAAAAGTAACGTGTATTTATATTTGTAAATCTGGTAAGGAGAACATTTTAAAAGGCCCCCTCCAATGTTGTTTGTATGTTTTTCCTTGGGGGGGTATTAAAAGAAGAAAAACAGCATGAAAATATTTCTTCTATCACAGATGAAATTACGGAGTGGCATTTTAGGTTGGGATGAAATTAATCTTTTAAATTTAATGCAATTTAAAATATAAATTGCCCTGGCAATGGCTGGCTATATTGGATTCCAACCAGGTGAGTTGGTTATTTCCCCTGCATTGCCAATGCAGGTTGAATGCCTACAATCAACTGGAAATGTTAAAAGCATCTGGTTAGGTATATTGTTAATGGAATGACATAAAAATATTCTTCTCAATCCATAGCACAAATGGGAACTACTCTGTATTCTGTGATGTGCACTCCCCGTTTTTTGCCTGCGGAAACACACCAACATTACCTAGCAATCATAAGTATCATGGGGACAACAGAAAGGAGGAGAATTTTACCAGTGGAGGGTTTTATAGTGACCAATTCCACATTCCTGGTAAGCTACCTACTTCAGAAACACACACATTAGAGCTCCTTAGAAATTAGATACACACCGTATCTCCTTTCAAGTCATTTAGCAACCACAACTTCCAGTGGAGCCCCATATTTCTGACCAATAGATGCAAACTCTTAGCCACCTGTATTCCATGTTTACTGGGGCAAGGAGCAACACAGAAGGGACTGCCCAACATCTGCAGCATGGTTAGATGCAGCACAACGGAAGCAGACATTATATGGATTTGCTGAAGTTCTACAGGATTCGTTTATGTTCTTTAGCATACTCACACATACACACAAAATGAATCATTACAGTATTTACCGGCAAGCTGCAGGTGTTCGTTATGGTGTTAGAGAGAACAAACAGAACACCAATGTATATGCTCATTTCTGCAGTGAAACCAAAGGATGACCAGGGTATCCACCTAACAGCTGTGGTGTAGCTATAGTTGTGGTGTCAGACTCAACTCCTCTGTGCAGGCAGAGTGCTCAAAGAATCTAACTGAAATCAGCAGCATTACTTTGACTCTAGGGTCTGCTTGAGCTCTGCAGAACAGACACGTGTAATTTAATCCTGGTAGCTTAGAAAATATCCTCACATCCAAGTGGGGGCATATACACCAAACACACAGCAGCCATTCCTTCCTATAAGTAGGTAACAAACTATAGATGTTTTTGTTCCAAAGCAGGACAACTGTATGTTGTGTGTAAATGCCCAGCTAGTTGGGTATATCCCTAGGTGACCTGTGGAGCTACCAGTACAGACTAGGATTCATTGTACTCAGCAGTGTTCAGTTTATCATATGAAATGTAGTCTACTGTGGTATATAGTTTAGGTACATAGTTTATTGCAGAGAACTGGCGTTTTACTTAGGGGAAAAGTCAAAACCCATACTGAATATCCACTTGGGACATGAAGAGACACCAGATATGAGATATATATGTCCGCATTCCACACAAAACCGCACACACTATATATCCACTTGTGTGCTGTTTACGGAGCCAGACAGTTTGAATACAATATTCTCATCTTTGGTATAAATGGTAACATTAATAAGGCTCTTCTTTAAGAGAAGGGACCAATTTAATGCACATCTTGAGGATACACATCAGGACTAACTCTTTTGTAAATAGTGGAAGAACATTTGGGGAAATGCCTTTTATTTCCAGGAAAGCTAAGAAAAAGGGAGACTTCTGAGAGGTGGGATGTTTTTGCCCTTTTTATTTCCCCTCGATAGGTAACCCAAGCATGCGAGCACACAGGGGATCTGCAGCACAGGCACAGTAGCAATCTCTCAAGCAGCGCTTTCTGTAAACCTGGATTAACATCTGGACCAGCAGCCATTTGGAATGAAGAGTCGAATCTCTGCTGCCTGCTGCAGTGCAGCGCAGCACACACCAATGACCCTCGGGCACTCCTCCTGCTGTGGAGGCTCCCATTGACACGTGAGCTGGGGACAGACAGAGGTTTATCCTCTTCCAATCGCCTGCAACTTATGTTGCAAGCTGAACTTGCTGGGTTTGTCACGGAAAACACAAAGCTTCCTCTGCATCTCCTGATGTAAGTTTTAAAAAAGCAGCAAGGCCCTTCACACAAGGTTCATGTTCTTATTGTTTGCTTGAGCGTTTCTGATTTGTTGGGGGGAAGAAAAGACCCTTGATGTACGAAGTTGGGCTTAACTCCCCAGAGCCCAACTCTCCCAAGGTAACTCACTGCTTCAGGGTACTTTACCTTCGTGTGGGGCTGGGTCTTGATGGAGCCGTATTCATATTTCTTCTTTCCGCTGCCTTATTAATATCTGAAAAGAATAATCAACCCATCTGTTCAATGCTACGGAATAAAAACAAGATCATCAGCACATTTCAAATGAAAGCAACAACAAAAAAACTACAATGACAACCAGATGGTGTAAGAAAATCCATTCAGCAGACGCAGTCACTTGGGCAATTTTTATTAAGTTACGGCAGTACATTGTCATGGCTTTGTAGGGAATGTCCCTCAGTTTTCTAGCTAACACATAATTTGTGTAAAACTGGTTATGTCAATGCTTTAACACTATGCCAAGCCTAGACCTAACAACTGCCCCCTCTGAAAGGGTAAAAGGCTGTCTTCTAAACTCTTAGAGAACCAGCTGTTAAGATTCTTTTTTGAGGGAGGAGAAAGGAAGAAAGAGAATTAAAAAAAAAAAAAAAAAAA